GTGCGCTTCCTTAGCACAGCTTTCTTTGCATGTTGTAGCCAGCTAGAGCCTATCGTTGCTCCGACGGTTGCGACTCCTCTGCTGTTAGTTTGTATTCGGCCCTTGCTCGGTGCTCCGGTGCCCCGATACCCCTCGGTTTCGCATCGGTAGACTCACGCGCGCCAGCCCAGCACTTCGCCAGCTGCACGCGTGTCGTGGGTAGCACTGCGAAACATAACGGATGAGCGTCCACCTATCCTTGATTCCTGTCCTCTCTTGCTCCCCTCCTCCTCCTCCTCCTCAACGCCGTCCTCTCCTCCTCCTCTCCTCCGCCTCTCTGCGTCTTACTCTGGTCATGATGCCCCCTCTTCTTTCCCCTCCCCTCCCCCGCTCCCTCGGGCCCTTGAGAGCGCGTGCTACAGCTGGGCCCCAGGGGCCACGACTCAACCTCGACAGACAGAGAGATTGGCGAGAAGCTGACGGGTGCATGGGGACATGGAGGCACAAGGAGGAGAGAAGGGAGAAGCCTTCCACGCGTAGCCATTTAGGCTCAAGTGTTGTGGCTTGCCATCTTCCAGCGAGGCCCTTTCGGTCAGGTGCTGAGGCATGTCGGAAGCTGGGCTGGACAGCCTCGACGGAGACGGCGCCATCAGTTGCGTGGGCCTTCGCCAGTGCCACTTGTGCTTGGCCCCAGGTGCGGACAAACAGTACAAGGGCATTTGGCTTCACTCGGCCGCCTGCTGGAACGCTGTGAGATCGAGGAAGCGCAACGCCAAGGCTTCTCCCCAGTTGCAGCAGCAGGACGACAAGGACATGATCAACGAGCCCGAGAAGTGGCGAGGTAACGTCACGCCGTTCTTGAGCACCGACTCCTCGAGCAGGGCTCAAGCTCGGGCGGCCGTCCGCGACCAAGTGAATGTCACGGAGACCATGCAAGTCGACAGTGAGATGCAGGTCGATGATCAGCACATTCTGACTCGCACCCGTTACAAGAACTACAGGAAGTGGTGGGACGACGTCGGGTCAGATACGGCCTACGAGGACTTCGACGAAGAGCACGAGGAGCAGAAGGGCAAGTACGACACTACGGACAAGCACGGGAACAAGGTCGCGAGGGTAAAGACCGAGGGCAACGCAATGGTGAGGAAGGGCAAGCGGGTCACACACAAACGGGGCCAGCGCACTACTACTCCGACGGATGGCCACGACGGCAACGCCGACAGTGACCGCCCGAGGCGCCGCATCAGGCTTGGTGCCGACTCCGATGCGGCCGACAGCGCTGCTGGGGGGTCGCTTCAGTCCACCTTCCGCCCGAGGCCATGCTCCCGCAGTTTCTCGTCTGGTGGAGCTGCAGGACACGCGCGCGCTGATGCAGATGAGGAGGAGCCCGAGCCTAAGATGCAACCTGCGGCAAGCCCACCTGATAAGGTCAAGAAGGATAAGGTTCCAACGCCACCGACAGCGAGCTTGGAGTTCATCAACAAGAAGGAGCAGCTGCCGGTGGACTCGGAGAAGCTCTTCGACAAGATTGCGGGCTCCAGGGGGATCGCGACCACGCTGGCGCAGTGCCGAGTGGACATCAGCAGGGCCGTCAAAGGCGACGCCTCGGGGTGCGACGACGCCGACGACGACGACGGCGAGGGAATTTCTGCCCCCACGAGGTGGGCAGAAATCCCCTCAGAAGAACACGACGACGACGACGACGAGTGAGTCTCCGCCTCGGCTGGGTTCGCACCCCAGGGCGTCGCCTTCGAAGGCGAGTTGCAACCAGATGAGCTACCTGATGGCCATGAGGACCTCGAGCACAAGATCGAGGCGCTGAAGACCGAGGTCAAGGGCTTGATCGATAAGAGCAAGAGCGTTCGCCGCGCCGAGCTGGAGGCGCTGGAGGGCAAGAAGGACGAGCTGTACGGGAAGCTGAGTGCATTGGAAGTCACCATCTCTGAGGTGGTGTCAGTCACGACGCAGAAGAAGGGGAAGGCAGTCACCCAGCAGCGCAAGGCTTACATGAACAGACGATGGCAGATCACGCAGATCGTAACCAAACTCCTGAACGGCACCTTTTCCGAGAAGCACGGGAAGTTCTTGGCGGGTTTGCTGGTCGATGTCGTGTTCACGGCCAGCGTCGGGGACACGCATCTGGCCAACACAGACGCGAAGGGCGACCCAGTTCAGCAGGCGAAGATCTTCGCGCCGAAGTGCGTGTGCTTCTCCGTGGACCCAAGCCCTGAGGAGTTCGCCTGCTCGCACGTCGTGCACTGGACGGGTGCGGTCGACTCGCCTTTCAAGGCCATCTTCGACACCAACAAAGACGTGATCAGCACCAAGCTTGAGACGTTCGAGAGCACCATGGCGGAGAACGACAAGTGGGCAGGGGCATGTGGCACGTGCGGTGATGGGTTCGTCCTGGAGGGGGCCTCGATGTACGGCTCCACGCTGGAGGACATCGACATGAGTGGCTCGAAGCCTTGGATCGTGAGCGTTCGTGAGGGCCACCGTCGCAGTGCACCAGCTTGCTCGCCGTTGGCAGGGCTCGCATGCGTCATCAAACCGATCGGTGACCAACGGATCTTCGTCCACGGGGTCGCCATGGAGCCGCTCTTGCAGATGGGCATCGCGCTGGCGGACTTCGACTCGTTCTCGAACACCGCTGCGGGCGTCGAGTTCATGAAGGCGCACTCGTTCGTGGTCGGTGCCAAGCCCGACGAGATGGTCTACTTGCCGCCAGCGTGTCTCTACTACGTCATCGCCATGACGGCCAACAACAAGAAGACGAAGACAGAGAAGGAGGTTGCTCACATTCTCCACTTGCCTGTGTGGGTCAAGAGCTGGCACGGATTCTCGGAGAATATCAAGAACGCGATTGTCGCGCTGAACGGCTCGACATTCCAGCAGAAGAGGGGCAAGCAGATGTGGGAGGAGCGCCTCGCGTGGTTCAACAAGATCCTCGAGTGCGATGCTGGTGCGATCTCTTAGGCGGCCCCCGCCCAGAGCTTGGAGCAACGACGATGGGTGCAGCGCCTTCGCTGCGGTCGTGGGAGAGCTCGGCGGGGCCGCCTTGAAAAACGCTCGTGCCGATATCAGAGTGCCGACGCAGCTCCGCCGACAGCAGAGTGCCCCCCCCCCCCGCCGCAGTGTCGGGGGGAAGGAGGAGGGTGAGGAGGAGAGGAAACGAGGAGGAGTACGAATAGGAGGTGGGGGAGGAGGATGGAGGAGGGAGGGGAGAATGAGGAGGAAAGGCAGGAGGAGGAGGAGGGGGAGGAGAAGCGAGGAGGATGAGGAATGATGTAAAAAATGAATGAGGAGGAGGATGAGCTCCTCCCTCCTCCTCCCTCTTCTTCCTCCTCCTTCTCTCCTCCCTCCCCCTCCTCCTCTTGTCCCTCCAGAACACGAGAGGGGGGGGAGGGGGGAGGGAGGGAGGGAGGGAGGGAGGGAGGGAGGGAGAGAGAGAGAGAGAGAGAGAGAGGGGCAATAGAGAGAGAGAGAGAGAGACAACGAGAGAGAGAGAGAAGGAGGGAGGGAAGGAGGGAGGGAGGGAGAGAGAGAGAGAGGGAGCGAGAGAGGGAGAGAAAGAGAGAGAGAGGAAGATAGGAGGAGAGAGGGAGAGGGGAGAGAGAGAGAGAGAGAGAGATAGAGAGAGACAGAGAGAGACAGAGGGCGAAAGAGAGAGGCAGAGAGCGAGAGAGAGAGAGAGAGAGAGCAAGCTAGATATTATATAACGGGTCAGAGAGATGTAGGGGGAAAGAGACAGGGACAGAGAGAGAGAGGGATGATAGATACAGAGATAGAGAGAGAGAGCATGAGAGAGAGAGAGAGAGCGATAGAAAGTTAGACATTACAGAACGAGTCAGAGAGATGTAGGGACGGGGGCACGAGACAGAGAAACCAGGAGAGATAAACATTGAGAAACAGAGAGACACAAAGAGAGAGAGAGAGAGAGAGGGAGAGACAGCGAGAGCCCCCGCCGCCCCGCCGCGACGTGGGGGGCGCCTGCTGGATCGGCGCCAGGACGCCCGCCGCAGGGTCGGGGGGAAGGAGGAGGAGGAGGGGAAGGTAGGAGGAGTGCGAATAGGATTTGGAGGAGGAGGAGGATGAAGGAGGGAGGAAAGAAGGAGGAGGAGGGGCAGGAGGAGGAGGAGGAGGAGAAGCGAGGAGGATAAGGAATGATGTAAAAAAGCGGATGATGAGGAGGCGGATGAGAGTTCCTCCCTCCTCCTCCCTACTCCTCCTCCTCTTGGGCGTGAGGAACCGCAAAACGAGGGGCGTGAGGAACTTGAGCGGCAGGCACTCCTCCTCCTCCTCCTCATCCCCCCTCCTCCTTTTCCTCCTTCCCCCTCTTCTTCCTCCTCCTCCTCCTCCTCCTCCTCCTCCTCCTAGCCATTGCTCCCGTTTGCCGAAATTCAGGCTGCTTGCGCTAGCGTTTCGTTTCCGAATTTCGGAGTTCATTTTGAAGGGAGAAAAGTTGAGGCAGTTTCCTTTAGCGGCGGCTCTAGTTGAGCCTCGCCGCATTACCCGCGGGGCGAGTGGGGTGCCTTACGTTTTCGGTTTTCTGGTTGAGCCGCGGAACCCATGTCTTACCACTGGGGACCGGCTTTGAGCCGCCGTTGTCTCGACGTCGCTAACCATCGAAGAAAAAACAAAACAACAACAAAAAAAAACAGAAGCAGAAATCTTGGGAGCTGTGCGCGGAGCTCTTTGGTCTGCCCCGGGCCCCGCCCTGGCGGCGCTTCTGGCGCAGCCCCCTGGTGCGCGAAGAGCCTGCCGGGGAGGCGGGGGCAGCAGCGTCGATATCGAAAAGACCGCGCGGAAGTCCGAAAGTTTGCGTCGGCGTCGTCCTTCGCCTCTCTCTGCAGCCAGGACTCGGAAACAAAAAAAAAAAAAATCCACCCAGAGAGAGAGAGAGAGAGAAAGCGAGTCTCGACCCGCGGCCGCTCCCGTCGACGACCGCGGCCTTAACTCGGGCACGCGGCCGCCCCAGCTCCGCGGCGCCCCCTCTGAAGATTGCGGAGGGCCCCGGCCAGGCTCGGCGGCGGGGAGCACGAGGACCTGTGGTGCCCCAGGCCGCCCGAATAAACGTCGGCCGGGCAGGCCGTCCTCCTTCTCCTCCGCCCTCCTCCTCCTCCTCCTTCTCCTCCTCCTCCTCCGTCCGCCCTCCTCCTCCTCCCTCCTCCTCCTCCTCCTCCTCCTCCTCCTCCTCCTCCTCCTCCTCCTCCTCCTCCTCCTCCTCCTCCTCCTCCTCCTCCTCCTCCTCCTCCTCCTCCTCCTCCGCGCGGCGAGCCAAAACCGGGGCGGGGAGCTCGTTGGCCGCCTCAGGCCTCGGGGGGCCCTCGCCTGAACCCGGGGCCGTCGAGAAGTCGCCAAGGGAGGTAGATCCGCACCGACCCGATCACTGGCGTTCACTAAACGGCCTTGGGCGTTTACTGACTGGCCATGCGCTGTTCGATGCCTTCTGTGGGCACGTTCACTAAACGGCGTCGCGTGTCGGGGTGATCATGATGGGGGTGGATTTGCTGCCCTCTAAGTTGCTCCCGAAGAAGACCGAGCGGCATAAACAGAACTTCTCGGAGCTCCGCACGGATTTGATCTTGCATCGGCGCTGGGTCCCCCTGGCGGCGCCTCCGCCGCTGCCGGCGCGCTCCGTGCGCCAGTTAGGGGGTCCCAGCGACGATCCAAGAAATCCGCGCAGATTTGGAGAAATTAGGTTCATGCCCCTTTCTGTTTCCTCTTGACCCGTGATGAAGACCGGTCCTGGGGAAGGGGTTCACACCTCTGGGCGGGTTCCCCTTGTAGACCGAGCGCGACGTCGGAGGCCTGGGGGAGCGGGACGCGTTCCGAGGATCGCACCGCGGTGCATCTGCGATGCGGCGCCGTCTGGAGCCAGCTGTCCTCCCTCCCAGCGTCGCTGATGCATCGGCGAGGCGGTGCGGTCCTCCGCCCCGAGCTGCTCGAGCTCCACCGAGCAGGCGCTCCACGAGAGCCCCTTCATTCGGCGCGTCTCGCCCTCGGCGGAAGGCTGGCGCAATGCCAGCGGAAGCTTTAAGTCGGGCGCGTCCCTCCACAGGAGGAATGGTTCAAAAATGATCAAATGGATAGTCTGGGGACTAGTCGGTTGGTATTCTTGGATATCTGCTGCGCATTTGTTGGGTATGTTTTGAAGTTGTTCGTCCAAAATCCGCCTGCAGGGGTACTCCAGATTTCGTAACAAAGCGAGGGGGGTCTCATTTCGGGGGGGGTCTCTTCCAGGCTATCTTGGAGGACCTTGGGGGGTCTGGGGACGATGTTCTGGAGGGTTCTCCCACGGGGGGGGGGTTGAAATGGCTTGTCTTGGAGGGTCCAGACCCGCGCTCTGCACCGCCAGCGGGTCCAGCGCCGGGCCCACCCTGGGGGGCCCGGCTTCGATGCAAGAAGTCCGCGCGGAGCTCCAGAAGCTTGCGCTGACGCGTAAGTCGTGCGTGTCCCCCTACAGGGGGATTTTCGACGAAAACTAGAAAGTACTTACAAAAGTGTTCCAAAATAGTCACAAAATACTCGAAAAAATAGTCCCCAGACTATTGTTTGACTATTTTTGAATATTCCCCCTGTAGAGGGTCCAAAATCCGCTTGTAGGAGTACATGCCCGACCTAACGGAAGCTGGTGGGGGGAAGAGCGGCTGCGGCGCCGCCAGCGGAGGGCCGCCGGAGAGCGGCGGAGAAGACACGTGAGCGGTCCACTGGCTGGGGTCCAGGGTTCTGTTCCGACGTGCTTCCGCCTTCCCACACCCCCTCGAGCCATGAAAAAATCACGACGGAAGGAGTTTCCATATTTTTCGCCTCTGGGGGTCCTTACCGGCCTTCGGAACCGTCAAAAAACGACTCAGGATGAAAAACCGGTCCCGGCGAATAGGTCCGGACCTCTGGGGGTCGCGTCATGAAAAAATCATGACGTCGGGGGTCTGGGTTGACCACCAGAAAGCATCTCGAGCACCAGGGAAGTACCGAAACCTGAGGGTCTTCACGTGTCGGGCCCTGGGAGGCGATGGTCGTGCGACATTTCGCCCGCGTGTCTGGCCGACACTGCTTCGATACCTTCTCTGGGTGCTCGAACTTATTTCTGGGATGCGGCCCTCAAGTACGATGGGAACAACATACAGATGGACCGAGGCATAAGATCGAGGTCGGTTCAGGGAGGGTACCCTAGTGATCTTCGTGCCTGTTGGCTGTTCTTGTGCCTCCCCGGGAGGGTACCATCGGATGCTCTGTGTGTTTTGTCCGGCGGAGGGTCTCACGTTTTTGACAGGTGTTCTTATGGCCTGGCCGGACCCTCCTCCCTGGCACGCGGAGCGCGCCAGGGGCGGCGCCGGAGGCGCCGCCAGAGGCGCCGCCGGGGGGGCCCAGCGCCGATCCAAGAAATCCGCGCGGAGCGTCGAAAGTGTATGTTTATGCAGTTTTTTTTCGGCCGCCTCCTCTGCTTTTTCCCTCCCCCCTGCATGGTGGCACAATTCGCCACAACGGTCCGATCACCGTTCAGGTAGCCTTAGCGCCAGCGCGGACGACCCCTGCCTAGCCGCCGGCGCAAAAAACAAAATGATGTCGTTTTTTCTGCTTCGATGTACGCCCAGGGTGTCTCTGGACCCCCTCCCCGGGACCTGTTTTTCATCCTGAGTCGTCTGTTGACTGTCCCAAGGCCCAGTGAGGGCCCCCAGAGGCCGGAAATGGCGCAAAATTTCCCGTGGTGATTTCTGTCGCTGCTCGAGGGGGTCTGGTTTGGTGCCGCTTCTCCTCCTCCTCCTCCTCCTCCTCCTCCTCCTCCTCCTCCTCCTCCTCCTCCTCCTCCTCCTCCTCCTCCTCCTCCTCCTCCTCCTATCTCCTCCTCCTCCTCCTCCTCCTGCCCCTCGGGAGCCGGCCACGGCGGCCGGCCCCCCCAGGTACTGCCAGGCCTGCTGGGACGCCCGGGGCGAGGAGGGGCGCCGGCGGGAGCGGCAGAGGGAGCAGCACGAGGAGCTGCGGCGGGAGCAGGAGCGCCTGTGGCGGGAGCGGTTCGCCTGCTCGCCCTGAGCGGAGCGGCTCGGAGGAGAAACAGCGCCATATCCCTAAGGGCTTGTCGACTTTTCGCCAATCGGCTTGTGGGGATCGAGCCAGATCAATCCAGGTAGATGCAGATGAATAAAGGTAGATCCAGGTAAATCCAGGTACATCTAGACAAATCCTGGAAAATCCAGGTAAACCCAGAGATCTCCAGGGAAAGTTGGAGCAACTCGCGGCCGCTCCAACGCGAGTCGAAGGACGGCAGAAGTCGTTAAGCCCTTAACGACCATAGACATGAACTCTCGGGGCTCCGCGCGGATGTCTTGGATCGGCGTTGGGGCCCCCCTGGCGGCGCCACCGGCGCCGGCCCTGGCGCGCTTCGCGCGCCAGGGAAGGGGGGTCAGGCGCAGCTCCAGAAAGTCCGCGCGGAGCGCCAAAAGTTTACGTTTGTGGTGTCGTGTCTTCTTCTAGCGATGGGCAGCCGAGGCCCCGCGGGCGAAACGCGCATCGTGTCCGCGGCCTCGCGGGCCGGGCCCCTGGGACCCAGAGATCCGAGCTCTCCCCCATTAAAGGAGCGGCGGGATGTTTTGCAGTTTGCCTCTGGGGGCCCTCGCCAGGCCTCGGGAGCGTGAAAAAACGACTCGGTGACGAAAAATTGGCCCATAGTGAAGTGGTCCGAACTTCGGGGCACACGCATCGAAAAAAATAGAGCAGCCGGATGTCTGGGGACGCGACCTCGCGGACACGGGGCGCTTCTTTGCGGAAGCCCCGCGCGGACCGCGACCACGCGTCCGCGGGATCGCGCCCCGGGATCCAGGCTACGAGGGCGCGGATACGGATATGTTCGTTGCTCGTGAGAGGCTGTGGACCGCGTCGGGTTGCCCGCTCGATGGGCAGTCGAGGTGGAGGACTGGCGGTCGAGCTTCGCCCGCTCGCCCGCATGATTGGCAGTCGAGGCGAAGCATTGGCGGTCGAGGTTCGCCCGCTGGCCCTGCATGATGGGCAGTCGAGGTGAAGGACTGGCGGTCGAGGGTCGCCCGCTGGCCCTGCATGAGATGGGCTGTCGAGGTGAAGGACTGGCGGTCGAGGGTCGCCCGCTCGCCCTGCATGACGGGCAGTCGAGGTGAGGTCGGGCGTCGTGCGGTCGGGCGGCCGCGTGCGCACAGCCGGTCGGGAGCTCGCTGCGTGCCCCGGGCGTCGGCGTCGGGCCAGCACGAAGGGCGAGCACTCGGAGGGGGCAGGAAGGAGGGGCGCCGCGAGGCGCGAGGTCGGTCTGCGAGCTCCTGTGGGCTCGCGGTGCAGAAGAGCCGTCGGCCACGGACCAGCGTGCCAGATCGGACGGCGTCCGAGAGTGGAGGAGGCCTGAAACTTGCATGACGCGCTGGCCGACTCGTGCTATCTAGCTGCCTGCGGCAAACTCCGCCACCGTGCCAGCGCAGCAGCGCAGCAGGAAAAAGCTTCAGTTTGAGACCTGGTCCAATTCAGCGCCTTGTTTGAACTGGCGCAGGTCGTGAACACCTCCTCGTCCGCAGCCTCGTTATCCTCTTCATTCCTCCTTCGTCTTCGCTTTCCAGAATGTGGACACTTGCTGGGTTGCTGGGTGTTTCTTTCTTTGGAGTTTGTATAGTCTGATTGGTTGTAGACTGCAGGTTAAGTGGGAGGGGGTGTGGGCTCAGGTAGCCATTTTGGGTCCGTAGCGTTCGGCTCTGGCCGACGCGCGGGTGTTCCAGGGGGCCGCGGGGCGGCCATAACCACAGCCGTGCTAGTCCGCGGACTAGGTAGCGCGCCTGTGGTGCCATGGCTGTGGGCTTCCTGGGGGCGCACCTGATGATCTTGGTTACGGGCGGCGCTCTTACGGTCCAAGGGGCACTTGGCTGGCTGCCATTCGGGCGCGGGGGACATGAGGTCCCAGCGCCGACGCCGCCAGCCCTGCCCGGGCCGACAGCGCCGCCGGCAGGCGGTGGGGGGCGAGGCAAGGGGCGAGGACCGCCCGCCAAGCCCGCGCCTGCAGGGGGAAAGGGGCGAGGGCCGCAGGCCAAGCCCCCGGGGCGCCGGGCGTCCCACCGCCGCCGCGGTCAGGGTCGACCACAACGACCACGACCGCGGGCATCGGGCGCGTAGGCGAGGGCGAGCCCACAGGCAGCCCAGCTACGCCGGCATACGGAGGTAACAACGAGCCCACGGGCGAGCCTGGGCAGCCGTCCGCCCCGGGAAACCGGACGGGCGATGGTGAGCCGGACCTGCCGCGTGGGCCGGACGGGTATTGGGGGTGGAGTGGTTGGGTCCCGCACCTGCCCCATTGGTGGGCTGGCCGGAGCGAACCCCCACCGCCGCCGCCGCCACCTACACCGCCCCCGGAGGCAGGGCCGGGTCCCGGTTGGGGCTTCGCAGCCTGGGTCTTCGAGGTCGTGGGCTATGGAGCGTGGGTAAGCTCCCCCGACCACCCGGGCACGATCCGCACGAGTGGCGGATGGTTTGGATCCGCCGTCGACCGCCTGGGCGTCAAGATGCTTGGGTATTGGTGGGAGACCGCGGTCTTATGCTTTGCCCTAGGCATCTTCACGTTCGTGTTGGGTGCCCTGGCCTTCATCGTCAACACCGCAGCCCAGCCTATGCTGTGGGCTGCCGGGGGACTCCGCTGGGCGTGGTACCAGATTACCCGGTGCTGCCAGCGACGCGGAGGGGATGGGCCTGGCGCCCATCTTCCCCCACCCCCTCCGACCCCCTTGCTGGTGCGCTGGCGCGGGCCGGGCTTGGGCGGCGTGGTGGAGACAGAGTTCTACACAAAGGGGGTCCGCGGCCGAGGGACCAATCGGGCGTACAACCACGTGCTGCTGCGTAAGCACGGGCAGGTGGCCCGCATCAGCTGCAACTTCGCGGACCGGTACCGATTGGACCGCCACGGGCTCAACATCAAGATCGGGCAGGTCCTGGGGTGCACCAGTCGCAAGTGGCGGCTGAACCTCGAGGAGACAGGGAATGTGCATCTATGTCGTGCTGTCGAGTGCGCCTCCTGTCCAGTGGCGCATCCCATGCACGTCGACCAGTACGCGGCCATTGACCACACACAGATCGTGGACTTGGCTGAGCACGGAAGGGCCACGGCCTGCCGAGCAGTCGGCGTGGGACTCCGGAAGGTATTCGGGGTCGTCAAGTGGCTGCTTTGCTCACCCTGGTCGGTACTCGGATGGCTGTGCCGGGGCCGGCCGGAGCCCCGCTACATCACCGACGCCACGGGCTATCGCCGCCTGGACATCGACTCGGAGAGCGAGGTGGAGGCGGAGGAGCGCCCCTGCCAAGCCGCACAAGTTGGGGTGCAGCTCGCGGGTGGCGCACGCCCCCTCCAGCCGGAGGGGTGCGGCGACCGAGGGATGCAGGAGGCCACTGTCCTGCTACAGGAGGACGCGGAGGTGTCGGACGTTCCTCGGCCTGGGCATTGTCTCAATGCACAGGTGCACCTCTGCGCCCACCATGCGCAGAAGTATCGGTCTACCCTGATCGGCCGCAAGTGCAGCCTCCCCACTTGTCTCCGCATGGCGAAGGGTAGCTGCGGGGGGGGCCCGATGCGCGGGGAACATCTCCGACGGGACGAGGGTCACACCGTGCGCGTCGAGGCGACGGTCCAACCTGGGATCCTCGGGGGCCTGCGCCGCCGCATGCGGGCGCGGGCTCCAAGCCCCGCCAGGGTGCGCGATTGGACCGCGCACGCTGCCGATGGGGTTGGCATTGCGGCCGAGCCGGTCTACCCCCCGCCTCTACCTCCCCCCGCTGCACCGCCACCGCCCGCCGTGGCCCCATCTGTCGATGTGGAGCCCACGGGGGCGCAGGCCCTAACCTCGGGGCCGCAGCCGCGTCGCACACGCTCCGCGGAAGCTAGGGCCAGCGGACGCTCACGGTCTGCCGACCGCGGGGCCCCGGGCGATCGGATCGCCCACCACGGGTGGCTTCAGGAGCCCCTACTCGTGAAGGTCTGCCCGATACTCCCGGGCGACCCTCGGGGAGCCGAGGAGGCGTACGGCGCGCCCCCGGCGAGTCCTTGGTTTATTCTATTGGGGGAATGCGAGGGGCTCGACGCACGGGGCACTGGCGGGGACGCCAGACTTATCATCGGGACTAGCCTCGAGGGCGTCAGGGTGGAGGTCCCAGCCAGCGAGGTCGTACGGCACCCCCCCCCGCTGGAGGACGGGCGCTACCCGATAGATTGGATCAATCGGCTGCTGTACGAGGTCCCCCAAGGGGCTCGGGAAGTGGGGTTGCGTGTCATCGCCCACCACATCCCGCAGGATCTGCTGGCGATGTTACGCCAGGAGCAGTGGGGCGGTGTGGACGTGGAAAGCGCGAGCGGCTGGAGGCGGCGCTACCTGACGAACACGGAGCGCCAGCAGCTGCAGCACGACCCTGTACGCACACTCGGCCACCATCGGCGGGGTGGCGCGCAGGGGGCGCCGCCTGCGCCCGGGATGGAGGGCTTGCCCCGCCCCGCCCCCGCGGCGGCACTGTCGCGCTTAGCGGCGGCCGCCACCGGCGTGAGCGAGGACGCCGAGGAGCCCGACCCGCTCGAAATGTTCATGGACTCCTTGCGAGCCGAGGATCTCAAAGGACGGGGGGGCCAAGCGGCGGCTCTCAGTGCATTAGGTATGGCCGCGGACCTGCTCGGGGTTCCGCTTGATCAGGCGGAGCGGCAGCTGCGGCGGAGGGTCGCACAGGTGGCAGCGGCGGGCCCACTGGGGTCCGACCTAGAGCGCGCCCTCGCGGATTGGAGGATGCGCAGCTGGAAGCGCGCGCGCGGGAGCGTGCTGCGGCCGCCGACAAGGTTCCCCTGCAGGGGAGCCTCTCACGTGAGGGGTCGCGGAGTCGCTCGGCGCGGGGACGGGATCCCAGCCCGAAGCAGGGACCCCGACGCGAGCTCTTCGGTGCCATGCCCCCCATCCAACCCACGGGCCCACGACGGGGCTTGCTGGGTGATCGGGACCTGCTGGCACGCGATGGACGCGGGGGGGCCGCCCGTGGGGCCAATCCGCTCCTCGACGGGGCCTCGGTCCTTGGCCACCTCACTGGCCAGACGCCCCACGGGGGCGGCCTGGGTGGGGAGCGAGCTGGGGGTCCAGACGACGCCGGGGCGGCGGGCGCCCTGGGCGGGCTTACAGTCGAGGCCGAAGCCCAGATTATCGAGCGCCTGGATCGCCAGAACCGCCTCACTGAACGCCACGTCCTCGCCGCCGAGCGGCAGGCGCGGGCCACCGAGGGCGACAAGAAGGCCCGGGGCACCAGGGCAGGGATCGGTCGGGACGAGGAACTCGATCTTTACATAGCCCGGGGATGCAACACCTTCGTGGTTGAGGCCTGCGAGGGTATCACGGGGAAGGACTTGTTCGACTCACTCAAGCGCATGTGTGCGCACTCCAAGAGCACGCTCAAGACGATCGGGTTTCCCTGCCTGGTTACCAACCGTGTGGCACACGGCTACGCGGCGCTCGCCTTCGGGACGGGCCCTCACGACCTGGCGGTGGACGACTGCGTCCCCGCGCGTGACGAGGACTTCGATGGCTATCGGCTTCCTGTGGACGACAAGCTGGAGCCCCGCCAACGGCCCGCCACCCACATGGCGACCTGGTTCAAGAGGGCCCGGTGCGAGATCCAGATGTTCGAGTCCATCATAGGGGTCGCACACGGGGCGGAGCGTCGGCGGTCGTTGGGGTTCTTGGAGGCGGCCTTCGAGAGGGACCCATCGGAGTTCCCAGACCATTGGGTCAAGGATCTGTGGGAAGAGCTCCGAAGCACCTGGGTCGAGGAATTGCGGGAGCTGAGGCGCCGACTCTGTCGAGAGCTCGACACCGAGAACCCGAGGAGGGAGGACATCAAGTATATCCTACTCATGCCGGAGAACGGCTACGATTTGCCCCGAACGTTCGACCTCGGGGACCCGAACGCCTACTACCAGCAGGTGGTCGTGCCCCGGCGCAAGGCCGCACTCACGCGCCTTCTCAATGGGCAGCTGAACGCCCACCTCACGAAGCGACCGCCCAAAGCGGGAGGGAGCGAGGAAATGGGCGATCCCCGGCCCACGGCGCAGGGGGATGACAGGCCCAAGGCGGGGGCTGGGCCCCAGCCGAAGGCGGGGCCCAAGGCGGGCACCGGGGCCCCAGCGGGGACAGCCCCCAAGAGGGCGTACCCAGCGGGCAAGGAACTAACACGCCCGGAGCGGACGCGATCCGTGGCGCATGCGCCCCGCAATAAAGACAACGTCCCTATCTGCTGGGGGGCCACCACGCACATGGGCTGCTCGCGGAAGGCTTGCGATTGCCCTAACTCCCATGACCCCATCAAGTCAACGCGCGGATTGGACTACTCGGTAGTCATGCAGCTCACGAGGCGCGGGGGGCTCCTTGGGACG